CATGCTAGAGGATTTGCATGTGGGAACCTCAGGTTTGAACCTTGCTCACGTCAATGGGTAGCCTTGGTCAAGTCATCACTCTCTCTAAGCCGGGGTAGGCAACCTAAGGCCTGTGGGCCGGATGCAGCCCAATCGCCTTCTCAATCCGGCCTATGGACAATCTGGGAATCAGCATGTTTTTACATGAGTAGAATGTGTCCTTTTATTTAAAATGCATCTCTGGGTTATTTCTGGAGCATAGGAATTTGTTCATTTCCCCCCCAAAAAATATAGTCTGGCCCACCACATGATCTGAGGGACAGTGGACCAGCCCATGGCTGAAAAAGGTTGCTGACCCCTGCTCTAAGCCATACTCATTCCACAAGGAATCCCCCAAATGTGAACTCTGCCTGCCTCACAGACTCCTCACAAGGACACCAACGCTCTAAGTTCTTTGGAGAAGAACCTCCCTGTGAAGTTCAGTAACCTACTTGTGTTCCTCTTTCCTGAAAGTGACAAAGGAAGTGAAATAACAAGTGAACAGAGAAGTGGTGCAGTCTCTGCATGTGAATTTACCAGCTCCATTAAGCTTGCTTAAACCAACGCTTGGTCACATTTTGCAATAAAAAACTGGCAACGTCCGGGGCTATCAGCTAACAACCTAAACCTCAACCAACACTGGATCCCTTATCAAGGAATTATTAAGGACACTTTTAAGGAAAAAAATAATCCCATTGTTTCACTTACTCACTTGTCAAAAGGCAAAAAGTTGCCAAATGTACAGTCTTAGCAAAATTGTCCACTGCAAAGAAAAAAATAGAGTTCTGTTTTTATAGGTAAATGTATTGCAACGTAGCTGCAAAAGCAAAGGGGTTTACATGGACATCACACATTTTTAAAATCTAGTCAATTAAAAAAACATTTCCTTTTGAAATGAGTTTAGAGCAACATGGAACCACAGTAAAATCAGAATTCAACCTTACACAAAGCACAGGTGAAAAACATGTCATTTGGACACACAAAAGGCCCAACTCCAATGCACGTGCAGGGCCACAATCCAGGCACCACTGCTGAAAATACTTTATTATTGCAGCACTGAAAGCACTCTCTTGTTTATGGTGACTCACAGTTTATGTAGGGAGGAGTCTATATGGGAGAAAGTGATCTTTAATGTATCACATAGTAGACTCAGGCTGTGTAAGTCAAAATCAGTATCTGGAGTTCAGCTCAGTAACCAAGAGGCAACTTGTAGGGCTCACAAAGGATGACCATCACACATTTTCAGAACTCTGACAAAAGATACACTATTGGACTTCCAAACTTCAGCTGGTCCAGGCTGTCCATAAGGAAAGGTACATGCAAAGCCCATTATAACAGTTAATTTAAAAGGTTGCAGAGCATGCATGACTATGGCCAAGTCCCTGAGTCTTCAGAAAAGGGCACAGTGGACATATCAGTGAAAGCTTACAGAACACAAGCTGCTACACAAACATCCAAAAGCAGTGCCAGGCCTCAGGTAACTCCCAAACAGCTATCTACTTAATGGGGAGTATGAACCCAACAAGAGGAGGAATGTCCTTTAGATCCTTTCTAATAAAATCACCCACCATCTGCATCTGTCTTGTCCGGATTGAACATATTAATTCATATCCAGTTCATTACTTGATTTTAGCCATTCATACACCGCATCTGATACAAATGAAAAAGAGAAATAAAAACATAATGACACTGTGCCCCAAATCTCCAAATGACCTCGCCCAGCAGCGTCATATAGGTATTAGAGTAGAACCCTGCAGAGTGCAGAACCATGCAAGCTTAACTTCCACAAGGCAGAGCAGCAGTTACAGCACCAACTTCTGGAACCATCCCACAAGGCTGGAGCAGAACCACTGCAGCACAATACTCTTCCCTGCAATCTACACAGATTGTCCAAAAGGATGCCACATTTTTTTTGTAGGGGGTCACTGGGTTGTTGCTGTTTTTATTTTGATTATGTATTTTGTGGTTTTATATTTTGATTTTATTCTGTAAACCTCCCTGAGACCTCCAGGTATAAGGTGGTATATAAATTAAATTAAAATATAAATAAAATAAAATAAGACCTCCAGGTATAAGGTGGTATATAAATTAAATTAAAATATAAATAAAATAAAATAAACTGGTGGTACTGAAAACTGTCAAGAAAGGAAGATCAATAAAGCCATGCTTCACAGCAATATAGAACATCCATCGGGGTAACCAAAGAATTTCCCATCCTAAACTCCATCCAGAACCCCAAATTTAAAAGAATTTATATGTAATGACATGTATCCAATAAGCAATTGCCCACCCAACCACCTTGCCAAAATAGGAAAAAATTCTCAAATCTGATTTCTCAAGACAATGGGATCCAAGGAAGGTTCCCTCAGTAGACGGTCTTGCAAGCACCTCTGAGAGATGACAACATCACTCCCTCCCTCTCTCGAACCACAAATAAATTTCACAGAACTAATTTAGTCATCCCATAATATGACTTTTACTAAAAAAGGTAAAGGTACCCCTGCCTGTACGGGCCAGTCTTGCCAGACTCTAGGGTTGTGCGCTCATCTCACTCTATAGGCCGGGAGCCAGCGCTGTCCGCAGACACTTCCGGGTCACGTGGCCAGCGTGACAAGCTGCATCTGGCGAGCCAGCGCAGCACACAGAACGCTGTTTACCTTCCCGCTGGTAAGCGGTCCCTATTTATCTACTTGCACCAGAAGGTGCTTTCGAACTGCTAGGTTGGCAGGCGCTGGGACCGAACGACGGGAGCGCACCCCGCCGCGGGGATTCGAACCGCCAACCTTTCGATCGGCAAGTCCTAGGCGCTGAGGCTTTAACCCACAGCGCCACCCGCGTCCCTATGACTTTTACTAGCCAAGACAAAAAAGGCTTGAAAAGGCAAACTACCAGATAAACTACTCCATTTGAATATTTGGGTGTTAGTAATACTTTTGATGTTCAGCAGTGATCCACCTCTGATAGCTACCCTAGGCTAACCATACACACCACCCCAAAAGCTCACCCAATCAAATCTAATGATGATGCTAATCAACAGCAATTCATACCACTTCCAGGTGGGAATTCACTGAGTACCCAACACAAGACTCTCAAGGAAGCTGCAGGCTGCAAATGGAGAATATGGGGAAGACTGAAGATGGCAACAGTCTCACAGGATAGATCTAAAGCACGACATCCAATTATATTTCTGTACACTATTGGATAGTTAGCTGCTCTGAGGGCTCCTAATGAGTCAAAAGGTAGGATAAAAATATAAAATGCACTACAAAAGTGACTCATCTAAGTAACAGCTTTTAGCCCTCAACATTTGAGATACATAAAAGAGAACACTGGTACAGTTTTGCATCTACCAGAACAGAGTGGGGGTGCAGATGAGAGACTTCAGATGAAGGACGCAACAACAATTACCCACAACAGAACTCCAGGTTACAGAAGCTGAAGCAAGGATGATTAATGATAACTAAAACAATCAAATGACACATGCTGTACAAAATACACATAAAGGACAGGTCCCACTCAATGGGTTTATGGTTCAGACAACTAGATAATGTAAGTTTAAAAAAGGAGACCAAACAGACAAAGATTGGCTGGAAAAAAATAAGCCTTAAGAATCTACTTTAAAAGAAAGAACATCACTTGAACTATTTCATGAGACAAAAGACCTAACAGGAGGCAGAAATCCCGAGTCACCCCAAAAACCACAACCAATTGCTAACCTGTTGTTTCCTTCATGAACACAATGCTTCCAAGTTCCATATGGACAAATGAACCAGACCTTAAGGTTATCACATCTCATATCAATTCATTATACTACTATGCTGAAGCTGGACCCTCTTCAATCAAAGAATATTAGCTATCTTTCTAGCACTTATTTCTGTTGCCCAATCCGGGCATATCTCTTATATATTAGGAGCTCCATCAGCTCAAGAGTGAAGTTCCTCACCAGTACTACTGATACATACCTCAACTCTTATCACAGTCCTGGGGTTAAGATCCCAAGAACATAACTGGACCATTCAGGCCCTACATCTAATCATCAACCAGTATCTTCTGCAACTGGTACTAAGACTTTCCAGTTTGGGTTGACATCCAAAAGTAACTGCTCCATTCAACTTTATTACCCACCCAAAGCCCTTGGCAAGGGAGAATGAACACTAAAATGCACACCTAAAACCAGATAAATTAGGGCCCAGAACTTTAATAGCTAGCCTGCAGAGGGTACCACTATGCTACAGGCTTACCCATTTTTAAAGCAAGCCTGGTCAGAGCCAATTTCCCTGCAGGGCTTAGTTCACAATGAGGTGCAAGGCTGATTACTGCACACAGTAGTTTCCAGATATTCACCCAAGCTGCCACCACCTCTTTTTTTAAGCATCTACCTAAAAACATTACATGCTATGTGGGTATAAATAGCCCTCAAGGAACAAAAGCAACAGGGTCACCACTATCAGCCTTTTAGGCCACATATAAAGCACACACATCCCCAAGAGGATCCTGGGGGCTTACACTTAAGGGTGCTAGGAGTTATAGTTCTATGGTAGCCAAACTACAGTTCCCGTGATGTGGAAGGGGTGTGTGTGCTTCAAATGAATGGTTTGTCTGCGGACATCGTCCCCTTTCACCTAAACAAACAAATGGTTAAGCAAGCCTTTCCTTCCTCCCAAGGCTTCTGCTGGAAAATACATCCATTTAAGTCCCATGGCCCAGCCCCACCCTTCAAGAAAAGCCAACAACAACACTCCCAGCCCCACCTCTGCAGCCTCCCCCAAGTGGAGCAACCCCCCGCTCCCAATGTCACTCCCAAGCAAGGCATGCAAGGGCAAGGGCTCCTTCCTTCTTCCCTCCATCACATCCCAACTGTGACCCACGTCGTCACCCACGGCCTCAAGACCACCGCTGGGCCCCTCCCACCACACTCGCACGCATACACACCTCGCACACCCTTTGCATGCATATACATGAAGGCCTCACCCCCCTCTCACCTGGTCCCAGCGCCTCCATGGCGGCGACGGCGGCGGCCTCGCTGCGGTCCCCTCCGGTCCCGGCCGCCCCGGGCCCCGCAGCTCCAGCCGCCGCCGCCGCCGCAGCGTATCTCTTAATTTCGGGAATATTGGCTCCGGTGTGAGGGTCAGTACCGGGAATGGGGGGAGAGCAGGAGGCGGGGGGAGGGGGCGTCCCCGCCTCGCCAACAGCCCGTGGCCGCCTCGGCGGAACCAGCCCGGCCGCCCAGCGCTCTCCCTCGGCACCGGGAGCGCCTCTTCCTCCTCCTCTTCCTCCGCCCCCACCCGCCTCCGCCTCCTCTTCCTCCCCCTTCTCCACGCTCGGTCGCGCGTGTCTGTGTGTTGGGGGATGTGCGCGCACGCGCGCGCGCCTCTTCTCGGCCCCGAGACCGAGTGGACGGTGCCAGAGAGAGAGGAGACTGTAAACGTGCGTATCCGCGCTGCGGCCACTGCCGCTCGCTGTCTTTCACTCAGGCCCAGGCCGTGCGTGTGTTTGTGCGTGCGCGCCCCCTGTGCCTCCCTCCGGCGCGCGCGCGCGCCTGCCCAGGCCCCCTTTCACAGCGCAGCCGCCTCAGCTGTCACCTCAGGCGCGAGTGCGCGACTAGCTCCGCCCGCTTCAATCAACATGGGGGGCGGGGGCGGGGGAAGAGGGGAAGGGCTGAGGCGAAGTGCCGCGTAAGGTGCACGCGCGGCGCGGTATATTGTTCCGTCCTCTTCGCCTCGAAGGTGTACGCGCGTGTAGATCAGCTTCCTTTCCTCGCCCGCTTTTCCCCGGTCCGGCAGAAGACCCTGATGAGCGAGCGCTGCATTCGCTGCCATCGGGGGGGGCGGGTTATCGTCTCCCTCAAACACAAACCCATGCACAGAGAGGCTGCCGCCGACCTCGCCCTGCCAACTAGAGGCATTTAAGCACAGCGGGGGCGCCGGCCATTCTTCCTCTCCATCCCCCACAAATGTCCCCACTCAGCAAGAGAAGAGACCGCGCGCCAGGACTTAAGCCCTTTCGGAAGTTCTCAGGGAGCTTCGGTCTGTGGGGCTCCACGAGTGCCTTTGAACATGTGCGGAGTGTGTTCTCTTTTGACACCAGCCACAAGTACTACCCCACCAGCCATGAACCTACCTGTGATGGGGGGGAGAGAGAAAGGGAGTTCTAAGAAGGTCTGTTTTACAAGAGGTGCCACGCAATCATATCCTTGTCTACTCAGAAGCAAGCCCCATTTAATTCAACGAGTCTTGCTCCTAGGTAAGCAAAAATAGAGTTGTGGCATTAAGCAGATGTCATTTACCCTATTAGAGGTCTTGCACACATATCAAGCACTACTCATCAATGTCCCACCACCAGTCCCCTGACTCTGAGCCTTCTTCCCCTGAGGGTCCAACTTGGGGGTTCCCCAACTGGTGCCTCCCACCACTCCTCTGCATCCAGCTAGCCCATGATAGTAATATTTTCCATTTTTGCATCCTCTTTCCTGGTAAAATGTTTGCTTCAACAGCAGAAAGATGGGAATATTCCATCCTAAATCTCCATTCCTGCTTCATATTAATGCAGTTCCCAGAGTTTCCTTGTAGAGGATCTATGGCTATTTAAACACCCAGCAGTCATAATTATGAGGCAATTAAGCCCAACGCCAAAGTCTGGGCATGCCAGCATTTCCCATTTCACACTGCCCCGCCTCAGGCCCAGGCCCCTTAAGGTTGCCCTTCAACTCCCTCTATATGGCCCTTGCAACTCTCACCAGGCCACAGCCCTCATTGCCCCTCTTCACACCTTCCTTGAGTATTTTTGCATGGCTGGCCTAGTATGTGTCCTTGGACACTGATCATGTCTATTGGTAGTCTGGATAGAAAAGTAAAATTCACGTTTGTTGATCTGTCCATTTTTGCCTCTGGTCATATCTGCCATAGGTATGTGGCCCTTGTATTGCCCAGAATGGAATACATCCCCTGGACTGAAAAGTTTCCTCACTACTGTCCTACTTGTATGTCCCACTGGAAAGGAAATCTCCAAACATAGCACATATGCCAGCATTCTGACAACCCAATCCATCTTAGATGTGTCTCCCATAGCTCAGCATTTCGGAATCACTCATTTTCCAATAGCTGTAAGCATAATTTTTTAATGTACAAAACTATAGGCTGAAAAAAGATATATGGGTGCATTCCTCCCAGCACCAAGTGTGCTGCTGTAGCTAGACTTAGGAGACACAAACGCACTCTAGGAGGGTTTCTTAGAAAAGAAGAAAAAATAAATTACATAGTTTGGGATACAAATTCTATAAAGCAGGTTGTTTCTCAAAGGCTCTTCAGCTAAACTGTTACAAATTCAGTTCATCTTCAAAAGGAGCTGCAATCAAATATTCCAACCCAACAGGTAGTTGTGGAAAGTTACCAAATACACACTCACACCAAAAACAACAATATAAGAAATAATAATGTTAGAAAGCATACTCAGTGGGAGAAAAAGTAAAGGTTCAATGCCTGTCTCCCCTATCTTTGAACTGCTTCCTGTTCTTAACAAGCTACATTTAAAGCACGCTGCTTCCACAAAAAATCCTGGGAACTGTAGTTTATCCCACACATAATTACAATTCCAACCCACTTCACGAACCACAGTTCCTAGGATTCATTTGGGTGAGAGCCATGGATAGCAATTCCACCTTTCTCTTGCAGCCCTCAATGTCACCTCCCCTGCTCCAAATGCTGTCCCAAAGGTTTCCCCAACCCTTGGATCAGATTTGGGGATGGGGGCAAGGGCTGCAGAGCCTCCTAAATGATGAACAAGTCCCAATAAAGTTTTGATCAGGGCTGGCCTGAGGCATTTTGTTGCCTGAGGCAAGTGAGTATAAAAGCCAACCAGATTGGTCTGTTGGGGCAGTATCCTCCACCGCATAGAGGGCAGCTAAAATTAGTTTAAGACAGGCACTGTTTCGGGGGCTTAATCCAGACTGCTGGTCAATGTAATCCGGCCCCTGTGGCAGTTTATTTCCTAGGGTAAAATCCTAAAAAAAAACCTCAACTTCAATCCTAAAAAAAGTTCAAAAACTTTGGTTGGCCCTTTGGTTGGCCCTCACGGCCCTTCACTTCATCAAATCTGGCCCTCTTTGAAAAAGACACCACTGGTTTAAGAAGTATGAGGCAGATTGCATGGTACACACACAGTACTGTTTGTGCCACATATCTCACCAAGTGCTGCCTGGGGAGTAAGGGCTTGTTGAAGTGAAGGTAAAAGCGGAAATGGCAAGTGTGTTAGCAGGAAGAGGTAACTCTCAACACAGATTGCTCTACTCTCCTACTTTCAATAAAATTATCATCTCCAAGGCATATTCACTTAGCAGCATATTTCACAGAAATCAGTGGGCCTTACTTTTGAGTAAGGCCACAGAATTTCAACTGTGTGGGGGTAAATTGAAATGTAGTCAAGGAACTGGGGGGGGGCAAGAGAAAGTGCTACCTGGGAATGATGCTCATTTTGGGCTGTCCCATTTGTCATCATTAGCTTTCCAGTGATCTGGCGTGAAAATTTATGCACGTCCATTTTCTTAAGCATTTTTGCATACTCAGTAAGCATGCAGCTGCTACCTGCAAACCTCTCACACCACTTTTTTTGTGAATTTGTGCTACAGCAAAATTAAACTTAACCTGGGGAAGGGAGGGGGGGATAGCAAATTCAGGCTTTTTCATACTCTGATCATAATGATTCTTCTAATCACCCTGAATTTTAAAGCATTTAAAAAGCTCTAGTATGGTTGAGCCATCAGCCTTTTTGACTGAACTCAATAAAATAGTAAACATACCAGCAAGCTTTCCTTTTGAAAGCCAGCCTATATTTGCATCTCTAGTGGATAAATTAGCACATGCACATTTGCACCACAGGTGTTCACCATGTCTTTTAAGGCCTTAGCAGTGCCTCTAATTGCAGCTCTCAAAAATTACAATGATTGCAGACTTCCCCATTCCTGCTACTCAAAGACCTTGTTAACAGACAATATTGGGGTCAAAGTAAGAACTTCTGCACAGCTTCTCCAGTTTTAAAGCCTGGCATCTCCAAAACAGAGATCACAGGATCTAAACACACCTTTCCTGTATCCCATCAAAAAATTAACAGGCATATAGTTCTTATAGAATTCTAGAGTTGGAAAGGACCTTGTGGATTATCTAGTAGTCCAACACCCTGCAATGAAGGAATATGCAGCTGTCCCATATGGGGAGCAAATCTGCAACCTTGGCGTAGTCAGCAACACCATGCTCTAACCAATTAAGGTATCCAGGTCAGGATTAAGATAGTTTAGAAAATATTTATTCAGGTGAATTCAAACTAATAAAGCAGAGAAAACTAACCAACGTAGTTACCAAGAAACTAAATGATGGACAGAAAGTTCCCTCTTCAAATCTCACCTTGGCTATAAGTCACAGAGTTATCCTAGACAGGTCTCAATTTCTCAGCCTCACCTCTTTGCAGAAGAAAACATGGGGGTCGCAAACCTGTCCTACCTTACAGGACTGTTGTAAGAACTGCTGTGATAACATAAAGCACATCCATATGGGGTTGTTACTTTGCTGAGAATCCACATTTTGTGTTTGCAAATTGAAGTGAGGCCATCCACACATGCACACTTCAGGTTTTCCATCCAGATTCATGACCTGATCTTTCCCATCCACAGTAGTAGATGGTCTTTGGTGGGAGTTTCTTGAGCTGTCCCTGTTATGAATTCCCTAGCCTCCATTCCTCTTGCAAGTGGGAAGATTTTGGGGGAGGGTTACTCTTCTAGAACTGCACAAACCCCAAGTACAATTCTGGATATGTATACAGGTATTAGTTACCCATGCACATATACCTTAAAAACAACAGACAAACCTATAAATTATGGGCATGCTCAGTTATCAATTTACCTGTGTGCACGCACTTAAAACACATGCACATTTATACCCCAGAACTGTGCAAAACCACCCCGGCAAAAGAAGGTACAATTTCTTCATTCCACATCTGCTATAGGGACATTCTCCTTGTTGCTCCTGGTCTAGGTTCATTATTACACTTACATGTTAAATTTTAACAAACAAAAACTTGCCTGAATTTTATCTCAATTTGTCCTTTAGCATCATCCTTTCTTCAGCTAAGAACATAGTCTTACCTGGAGCCGCCAGGGACCTTTTGCATGGAAAGTACATGCTCTACCACTGAGCCACACCTATCCATCTTCTAGCCAAACAAGCATCTTATATATAAGCTTCTATTGGTATATGCAAATTGTAATAATTAAGGCAGCTCAGGTGTTTTCAGTTTCATGTCAAAGCATTCTAAGGGTGTGATCCTACATATACTTATCTGCAGATAAGGCTTACTGAATACATGTGGGACTTACTTCAGAGTAAACATGAACATGCCTGGTCTGTGTAGTCAAACTCCTAAGCACACTTGGTATGAAGTAAAGGTAAAGGTAAAGGTACCCCTGCCGTACGGGCCAGTCTTGCAGACCAGGGTTCTGCGCTCATCACTCTATAGGCCGGGAGCCA